CAAATGAGAATGATTTGAATTCATAAGAGGTTTGGGGAAGTGAAAGAAATGAAAACTGTTCACACACAGAATATATTGACTTGCACTAACTAGAAAAACTTGAATTACTACTTGTTCAAAATTGTAGAAAATATTTACAGATGATATTGCTAACACATCAAACCATTTCCCCCACTTTGTCTTCCCCTTCTTTACTTCTGAGCTTTTTCCCTTCTGTGTTTTACTTCTCCTTTTTTAGTTGTTCTCGACTTTTTGTCAGTTTTCAGTTTTACCCTTCCAGTCAATACATTTTTTCCCTCATCTCCCCTTTTGCCTTTAGTGTTGCATTTACTCTGTCTATAATTTGTCTCCCATGTGCATTTTTTCTTTTGTATCACTTACTGTGTCTCTCTCTATATAATTATTTAGATATTTAATTTTCCTGAATCACTTTATATTTTTTTGTCTTAAAAGAAAAAAATGTTAAATGGGAAAGGCAGCTTTCAGTTAAATATTAAAGCTGCATTATGGGCTGCTTGCTGTGTTATATACCTTCATGTTATCCTGGCACAAACTGACAAAGGAGATAAAATGAAGGATGAATGAGAGAAAAAAAAGAAGTGTTGACTGTCAGGATCACCATGAAAGCATGGTATAATGACAAGTATTAACCTAGACATTCCTTGGGATTCCCTTTTGGTTTCATCTCTGTTCTGAGTACTGGTTTCAAAACTGTAAAATGAAGATTTTGGAACTTCCATCCCTCAAAGAGGCAATGTGATGACAAATATATTAGAAATTTGAGGGGTGACCACGTAAAAAGGTAATGACCTCATGCAAGAATGAATAACAGCTAACTTCAAAGTGGCAACAGCTTGACAAACACTTAAACTGTTGACAAAATATTTAAGTGGATTTTAGACTGTGTATTTTCAAATTCATTGTCAGCTGCTAAACAACACAATAGATTTTCCAACATTTTATCTCCCATATGAGCACTCGAGACAACTAAATCTCATCATAGTATCAAAATATTTTTGAGATACATTCCCTTTTCAACTTGATTTTGGAAGATGAATGTTTTCCAAGACCAATATATCATCTAGATAATTAATAATAATGCAGAAGAAATGGATAAATTATTTCTATAAATTAGCTATCTGTTTTTAAAATGTTGTAGTTCTGAAAAGAAATATGAAAATTGTAACTTGATCTAATGAAACATTTGCAGGATATCTTATTTGTTCTATTTTTATACAATCATTTTTTCAGAATAACCAGTTACTGTGAAGTGAATTTTGTACATGCAGTTCAAAATTCACAAAATAAAAATAAAATGAGCAATCAAGGATGAAGAGTAAATGAAATAGTGTTAGTCTCAAGAGCCTCTTCCAATAGCTCTTCTGACATCTCTGTAACATTTTAGTAGCATCGTCAGGAAAAACATTTATCTCACTGCTGGAAAAAGAGAAAAGATGGAATAATGTGGAAAAGAAACTACAGTGATGACGTAAAGTGATGACCAAGCTTTGGTGTAAATTAAGTATTGTTAATGGACCATAGATGTTAGAGCCTTGGTACACTGAAGTAAATGATTATATTCCCACTGAGTCAGTGAGAGTGAGGTTTTCATTCTAATTTCAGACTTAAGCTTTGAAAAGACTTCATAAATAAACACTTGAAGTTCCTCAGATGCCTTAGCTGAATGTATATTTTTATTTTAGAGTAATCTGATTCACTTAAAGCTGCATGACTGCTGTCAGAAGTAGGGATGTAGGGTTTGGTGTTTACACTGCAATCCCTACAAAATGGGAGAAGCATTTCGGGCAGTGCTTGTATTACTGTCACCGAAAGGAAGCAGGTTCCTTTACTCATACTTCTACTGGCAAAACAAATGAAGTAAGACTGTTAGCAAATGCTTTATTTCAAGATATAATTTGTTACTTAGCAATTTCTTCTTGTTTACTACTGTTCGTTGTTTGCTTTCAGAATTAATTTTGATAAAGCACCATCATATTACAATGAATAATCAAGGAGTGGCCCAAAATAATAGATTAATGTTTAATCAGTCTTTTACTTTCCTAGCTTCAATGATTCTAATGATTGGTAGTGTAAATTTAGCGACAAAAATTCCTAATAGACATTACAGAGATAAATGCAGTTCTTCCTGGTTCATAATTGCTAGTAATACTACCTTTCCAGGTGCTCTGAACATATTCTATTGGTGGTATTTTAATGTCTAATATAGAAGGTTGCAAATATTTTACGTATACTATTAATAGAATTTTGGCATTGGAAAATATTCAGAAATAAGTTTTTATCTAAAAAGATGCAATTGTGTGTTTTAGGAGATGAAATCCAGTGAGTTAGCCTTACATCATGAATATTTATTTTTGTCTTTGTAGTGTGCTGAGCACCACTTTCAAGCTTGGTCTGTAGGGTGTGTATGTGTATCTCTGCCTTTCTAAGTTGAGAGCTTCATTTAATCTTGACCCCAGAAGACAGTTTCTCATCGAGACATCTGGCCATAGCTTTAAAGGGAAGCTCATACATCTTTTGTGTTCCTCAAACAATGGCACTCTTCAAAATTGTCAAGTATTGGCCACAAAAAGGGAATATAAAACTACGTTTTGTCTCTTAATCCAGTGGCCTCTGTAAGTGACTTCTGGAGGCCTTGCACTTGGATGACTTTCTCTTTTGTGCATTTACAGTTGCATCTACTTGTTAATTATAGCCCTTGCTGTTCCCTGATGTTAACAGGAATTATATAAATGATTAAATAAGGACAAAAATAGTACATATCTTATAAAACAGAAATAATTTACCCTTGTAGAAAAGATCTTATATAGGTAAAATCATTTTTAAGTGGTGAATGACCATCTTTGACTTGAAAGTAATTGGCATGGGCTTCTTGAAAAGTCTGAGAGAAGAAAGTCCAGGTAAAGCCAGTTTTGAATCACACTGATGAGCCAGGGAATTCCTAAAACTGCCATACAAATAAATTGCTTTTCCCATTTTCAATCTTTTGTCATCAGCAAATGCGTGGAGATTATTCCAAGATTTTCTGAAGAGTTAGAGAAAAAACATATTTAATAAAAGTAGGAGATGAGGAAAATGGTGCTTTTTTTTTTTTTTTTTTTGAGAGAGAGAGTTTTTGAGCAAAGTAACTGAAAGAATCTTTGTAAAACTCTTTGGACAACCTCCCTCTGTCCTCAGAGATTTATACAGGATAAATAGAACAAATAGTGTCCCTGCATGTTTGTTTATCTATGAAGCTTCACCACACAAAAAGTAATGATACCCTTCGATTAATATCATCCAAGTAATAATATCCTTCTGACTGCATCATAGGAGTAATAATAAGCTTTCAACTATTTCAATAAGTAATGTATTTCTGACATTTTACATAAAAATAAAGTCTCTTTAGAAATACATACCTCCTATTTGCTCTAGCACAAATTTTAATATCAATAAAATTGTTGTGGATTTGAATGCAGATTTGACCATTGTACAAAAAAAGTAATAAAATTCTAAGAGACTAGTTACTTCCACAGTTTTCTTCATAACATTATGATTAGGCAATTAATCTGTTTTAATAAACTTTTTGTCACTATTCCACATGACAAGCATACATTAGCAGACAAGGAAGGAACAGGGTGACATACAAGGCTTTTCAAAACTCCTCTGTTTTGTTTAATTGGATGTTATTTATCATTCAGCAAATTAGCTTTGAAAGGAAACTGTTGCTCACACAGAACAGAAGCATTAATACTAAGATACTGCATAGCAAGATAGTTTAGTTAAGCAGTTGCTCCTAGGCTGTTTATCATCCAGTCTTATGTTGACATGTAAAGACTTTTCCACATGACACAGTAGAAGGTTGTGTGAAATTGTTCATAACAAAAATGCACACTTTCTTCTTCCAAATTATTACTTTAATTACCTAATATAACAGAGATTTAGTGCAATAAGATAATATGTATTCATTAGAGCACTATGATTGGATTGCTTCTTGTCATAATGTTTTATCATTAATGTAAAATACACTGCGATTTTGATATGTTTATTAAGCCAATATCTTTTAAATCCAAAGATCTACCAAATTGTAAAAGAAGTTAACTGTGTTACTGTTTATTGAGCTTGATTTACTCCATTGAGCTTTTAATAGAATCAGATAAAATACATAGATCAAAGAAATTTCCTGCTTAAGAGGGAGAGTGACCTGCATGTTAACTTTTTCATGCTACCAGCGAGACTTCTTGTAACCCAACCAATAGAATAAGTGCATTGCGGAGGTATGAATTTTGGGAGTTAGCCTTGAAGAAATTCTGCAGTCACTGGCTATAGCTTATTTCAGAACAAGTACTCTTTTCTGTGAATTTGAGCTGTTAGAACGTCCCTTTTACTCTGACTGCATTCCCATTTGAACTCATGATAAAAGCAGGCTTTCAAAGCTGTTCTAAACTGAGCTCTCTTTTTGCCTATTCATTTAAAAAACAAGTAGTAGAATTTGTCTTACATATAAAACAAAATTCACTGATTTGTTCTGTTCACATGTTGAATTGCATTCTGCCAGTAATGTGAAATCATATTTCATCCTTTTGCAATAATAGTTATCACTTCCTGTAAGCTAGTTTTGATAGCTTTGAGACCGAACAGCATGTAACCCTATGAAGAATTCTGTTTCAATTGCTGGGATCAGTTGCAGTAGTAATTTTAGGATGTGCCTGTCATGTATGACTAAAACCATATAGTATTACTTTAAAATTATTTTCATGCTAAAACATCTGCAACATCTTCTTTCTTCTCAAGATTTTAAAGAGGTCTTGTTTTGTACTTTTTTGGCTCTGAAGATTATTTTCCAGTTTGCTTAGGGTCATATACTTTTCCAGTTGAAGCCTTGATTCTGCAAACCTTTAAGTACATGCTTAGTTCTACCTAGTGACAAAATCTCTTATATACTGACTAACAGAGTAAAAACTATTAAAGATCTGATCTTTATTTGTCTTTCAGGAAATCTTTTACACTCCTCTAAATACTTCAAGCAGTCCTTTTATTGAGCAAACTATGCCTGCGAGGCTACAAAGGAAGCCCAAAATAAAAACAGAGATATCTGCACATTTCTCTAAGAAGGACAGTTTTTTCCATTTAAGTTTTAAATGGAAGAGAGAAGGAAGGAGAAAAGTCATAGCAGCACCTGTTACACTGCCTGATAAACCCATCAACAGGGCAAAATGTGGTATAAACATGGCCATCAGCAGAGTTAACAAGAGAAATGAGCCTCTTACACCCAGCGAAAGTAATAGAGATCTGTAATTGGAATGGTTGCCTTCAGAAATACAGGAATACACAATTTCTGTGGCTGCAAAAAAGGGCAAAGGGTAAGAAAGAAGAGCCTTGGTTAAGAGACATAAATTCGCAAGTGTTTTAAGAAATGATGGCAGGTTGTCTGTAATAACTTCCTTTGTTTCTTCACCCCAGGTCAAGAAAGCAGTCAGTGCAAAGGTTGTTTTCAAGACACAGGCAAAAAAGTGAGTCCAATTCAGCATACACCTAAATTCCTCTGGGTTTTTCATGTTACCTTCAAGTGTGGGAAGAAATATTTGTGAAGTGTAACTGAAAATAATCACTCCTACGGAGACCAAGAAGTCCTCAAACTCAATGGAGAGTCTGAATTTTGCCCAGGACCACTGGTGTATTTGTGTGAGACAGTAAGTCATCACTACAAGGATGATAACAAAGTGAACTAAGGAGCAAAGCTGGCTGAGTTTGGAAACAATTTTGAGAGTTCTGATAAATACACAAGGTAACAGAGTAACAAATGCAATTATAGACCAAGTTTTCTCAGTCAATGCTATGTATGGAAAACTCTGTGACAGCAAGTTCCCACTAACAATCAGATACAAAATACATGTCATAATCAGTTCCACCACTTGGGTCACATTGACAACTATGCCACCTAGTTTGGGAGATAGCTTTTTGCAGCAGGCATTTGCAATATCTTCATACGAGTCTCTCACTCTTACCAGTTGCCCATTTTCATTTTCTTCATACAAGCAAACAATTAGAATTTTGCCTGTGTAACAGCATAATGCTGCAGCCAAGACAATAAGAAGTAGGCCACTGTATCCACTGTGGAGGAGAGCATACGGCAATCCTAGGACAAATATTCCCTGAAAAGGAAAAAGAGAAAGAAAAGATAGCACATAATCCCTGAGGCAAAATGTTTACTAGAAGCTGCACTCCCAAACCTCTCCTCCATTGAACATTGTTTTTACCTAGTTGCATGCTGCAAGTACTGCTACATTCAGCTAAGTAAGTAACAATCATGAGAAATGTGTTTATTTATGAGAAATGAATTTATCAGCAAAAATAACTGCTTCTATCAAAGCACATGTAATGATAAGCTGGGAAAAAGAGAATGTGACTGAATGATAGAGTCAGGTTTCCAGTTAATATTTAATGCTGATGTGATTAGAAGCACATTTAAGAAGGTTCATAGTTAGTTATTCAGTCAACATACATACTAATGAAACAGGTTCAATATCAGTAAAATTAAACATCTGTAGCATCATCTGTGTGAGTTTCATTCCAGTTAAAAATAGCAGTGTAGATAGATCCAGTAATGACAGTTGTCTTTAGCCTAAAAGTTGTTAGCAGACCTCTGGAGAGAAAAAGGCATTAGAGTGCCTCAGACTAAACTTGTGTTTCCTCTGCAGCTTCTGTTTTCCTCATGTGGCCTTTGCTCTTGCTAAGTCCACTGCTAAAGTGATTTTTCTCGAAGCTGAGATTTTAGACTTCTTCGTCTAGAAGTGTAAACTTCCTTGGGTGTTTAAAAATACATGCAAGACATATAGACTTTCTTCTCAAGGAGAAGAACAAATTACACTTTTATGTGGTTTTTCCATCAGAATAAACCCCAAAAAACCCTTGAATGATAGTTACTGATAAAAAGATCCAATTTTAGAAAGGTGACATTTCTCTTTTTATTCTACAGAACTGAAATTAAGAAATGCACATTAGTCACATGGTCAGGTATTTTTGTTCATGACAACTGAAGGATAGTGAGGAAACAAAATACAATTAACTAGTTCTGCAGAAATTTTTGCTTCAATATTTCTTACCACACCCATAACATGATGAAATCTGCGCATTTGTGCTCACATTTGTTATTCTGGTCTGACAGAAGGACTTGATTTGCATCAAACCCATCTAGACTCTATTTCTGACCAAACCCGAGCAACCCCATCTGCTCTGCAAAACCCTGACAGAAACAGATCTCCTCACAGAAGGGAGGACTCTTCTCTCACATCTTGAGTGGATAGTGCTACTGACTGCAGCCAAAGCAGAAGAGGTAGTTTAATGGTCTACATCTTAATTTCAGACTTTTCCATCTACAATCATGAGCACAAGGCCGAGTGGGGGACCAGAGTTTCAGGCATTCTTCTGCCTTTCGTATTTTCTATCAACTCTGTTAGGTTTTATACCCATCAAACAGTTTCTGTGAAGGCAGTGTAGGAGCCCAGATCTGATGGAGCTCATCAAGAGGGCGGGCACTTGTCTCAGCTTTGTAGGGCTTATACCTAGCACCCCACTTCTAAGTGATATAAGTACGTCCGCACCTGATCCATTAGGAGGACTCTGAAGAGAGGCAATTTTTCAAACACTAAATAATCATTAATGTATAAAAAAGTATTATCCTTCTCTCCCAGACACAAAATAGCAATCCTTTTTTGGGCAGATTGTGAGATGAGCATTAATCATAAAAGAAAGATTTGAAGTCCTTGAATCAGAGCAGTGTTTCTTCTTTAAGTTAATGAGAAAAATGGAGTGTCCATCATATGAAAGAGCATCATTGCCTAATTTACCAGGTTTCACTCTAGATGCAGATATCTTCAGCTTTTAGCTGACTTAGAGCTGGAAAAATCATATTAAATATATGCCTTAGTAAATTTCACTTAAAAAGGTCTATGCCTTTATGTTTTGAAATAGAAGTACTTCAGTTATTATTAATGATATAATAATAAAGTTATTGACTAGGTATTTTCTTCATTGTTTTCCATGACTTCATTTACAGCATTTGTTTTACGTAAGTCACATATGCTATTTCATTTAGAAGCTGGGATGTTCAGCTATGCAGCTTGTGGTATTTAGGCACCCAAATCTCTCCACTCAGTGTCTTAACTACATTCTAATACAGGTCTCATGACCCAATTAGCTTGAAGTGTAATTAGGATTTCTTTTGTACATGAATTTAACAGAATTGTCCAAAATTGTACCATTTCTGCCATCTAACAGTCTACTTTCATAAAAAGATTAGATATCTGGATGTATTCAGACTGCAGGTAGCACATATGTAACAGCAGCTTTTGATATGCCATTTTTAATCATGGCTTTCACTGACTGGCAAGTTAGATAGCTGTCTAAAGAACTGAATTTGGTTTCTTTCCTATGAAAACAATCCTTGGGGAAGATTGACATAACAGATGGATTTTAAAAGCATCACAAATAAACCAAGTCTATGAAAAAATCAAGAAGATAAAACCATAGAGTCATCTTCCATATTAACATAAGAACAGTGATGTTTTCTCAGTTCCTTGCAGTCTGTATAAAGCTTATCTCATTTGTTCTATACTCACAGCATTATTATTTTGCTGCTTAACCTGCAGCTGGGACTTAAAATGGTATCTGCTGGCCCAAAGGGTCACTGTATAATTAAACTGCAGGTAAGTGTCAACATGGGCCTTGCCCACACAATGGCTTCTCCCCTGCTGAATTGAAGCATGGAAAGGTACATTAGGCAAGCATGGTGTTGGAAACTGCAACGATAATGGTCGACTTCTGCTAGAATTCTGTGCAGAGCAACAGCTCACCATCACTAATACTATCTTCCAGCAGAAAAATAGTCTGAAGACAACCTGGATGCACCCCAGATCTAAGCATTGACACCTCATCGATTATGTCTCGGTGTGACGGAGAGTTGTCCGTGATGTCCTCCATACCCACGTGATGCCCAGCGCAGAATGCCAAACAGACCATCTGCTTGTGCGCTGTAAACTCAACTTCAATTTCACATTCAAACCCAAAAGGCACAGTATCCCAAGGAGAAGATTCCAAGTTAACAATCTCCAATCAGCCACAGTAAGAGACAGATTCCAGGCTAACCTTCAAACTAGGCTCGAAAACCATTCCACAGATTCTGCAGATTCCTTCCCTGAATCAACTTGGCACCATATTAAAAACAGCATCCTGCAATCCTCCGAAGAATCCTTAGGGTTCTCCCTCAAGAAGAACAAGGGCTGGTTTGATGAAAACAATCAAGAAATCCAGGACTTGTTGAGGAAGAAGAGAACTGCCCACCAAGCACACCTTGCACTGCCATCCTGTCACGCAAGAACAACAGCCTTTCATCTTGCATGTAGCAAGCTCCAACAGAAACTCCGTGACATCCAGAACAAGTGGTGGATCGATCTAGCTGAAAAAACTCAATTATGCGCAGATACGGGTGATCACAAAGGATTCTATGAGGCCCTGAAAACAGCATATGGGACTACATACCAGGTACAAAGCCCTCTACTCAGCGCTGATGGTCAAACGCTTCTGACAGATAAAACCTCCATTCTGAATCGATGGTCTGAACACTTTCAGACTCTCTTCAGTACCAACCGTGTGGTCCAAGACTCAGCAATTCAGTCCATCACGCAACAACCAGTAAAATATGAATTGGATACTGCCCCCACTTTAGGAGAAACCCTTAAGGCCATACAGCAGGTGAAAATCCACAAGGCAGCTGGGGTTGATGGAATTCCACCTGAAGTCTGGAAACATGGGGGCCTCGCACTCCATACCAAATTTCACGAGTTTGTGGTGCGCTGTTGGGAACTAGGCGAACTACCATCAGACCTTTGTGATGCAGTCATCATCACTTTGTATAAGAAGAGAGGTATTAAATCAGATTGCTCAAATTACCGTGGTACTACTCTGCTCTCCATTGCTGGCAAAATCCTGGCAAGAATACTCTTGAACAGACTAATACCTGCTATAGCAGAAGGAATTCTACCTGAAAGGCAATGTGGTTTCAGAGCCAACAGGAGTACCACAGACATGGTGTTTGTTCTCAGACAACTGCAAGAGAAGTGTAGGGAACAGAACAAAGGTCTTCATGTAGCCTTTGTTGACCTCACCAAGGCTTTCGATACTGTGAGCAGAAGAGGTCTGTGGCAGATTTTGGAACGCTTAAGTTGTCCCCCCAAGTTCCTCAAAATGGTCATCTCACTCCACGAGGATCAGCACAGCCAAGTCAGATATGGCAACACACTTTCTGAACCCTTTCTAATAAAGAATGGCGTGAAACAAGGCTGCGTTCTCGCTCCTACCCTATTCACAGTCTTTTTCAGCATGATGCTCCAAAGGGCCACGGCAGATCTCGATGATCAGGACGGTATCTACATTCGATATCATACTGATGGAAGCCTATTCAACCTAAGGCGACTGAAGGCCCACACTAAGACCTTAAACCATCTTGTCCGGGAGCTGCTTTATGCTCATGACTCCGCCCTTGTCGCCCACACAGAAGCAGCTCTGCAGCATTTAACATCCTGCTTTGCAGACGCTGCTGAGCTCTTTGGGCTGGAAGTCATTCTAAAGAAGACAGAAGTTCTCTCTCAACCTGCACCTCAGGAAGTCTTCCATCATCCCCATATCACCATTGGCCAATCAGAGCTTAAATCAGTCCAGCAGTTTAATTACCTAGGTAGCCTCATCTCCTCAGATGGTAAGATTGACAGAGAGATAAACAATAGGTTAGCAAAGGCATATAGTGCCTTCAGAAAGCTTCATAAAAGAGTTTGGTGAAATAAACACTTGAAGAAAAGTACAAAGATCAGTGTTTACAGAGCCATAGTGCTGTCCACTCTCTTATACGGATCTGAATCATGGGTCATCTACCACCACCACCTGCATCTCCTAGAACGCTTCCATCGACGCTGCGTCTGTACAATCCTAAACATCCACTGGTCAGATTATGTGACCAATACATCTGTTCTAAAACAAGCAGCAGTCACAAGTATTGAGGCCATGTTACTGAGAACACAGCTGCGTTGGGCAGGGCACGTCTCCAGGATGAAGGACCACCACTTCCCTAAGATCTTGCTTTATGGTGAACTTGCCACCG